AGAGAGAGAGAGAGAGAGAGAGAGAGAGAGAGAGAGAGAGAGAGAGAAAACGATGCTCCCCAAAATGGTTGCCGCTTACCAGTTTCGAATGTACACAATTGAAGTACTGACACTGAAATGCTGTACGTGAAGCTAATGTGCGCTAATTTGCTCTATGAAATGCATTGTTCCACTAGCTCACATCCGTTATTAATAATAAGTTATTACCCGCATCTTGAAGTTTTTTGCGTTCGTTTTTTTCCGCACTGTGCTCCTTATGTTTTTGTTTTCGCTTGTGCCATTTAAATACAAACTATTTTTGCCCGGTTGCTCGCAGCTAAAGCTGTACAGCTCATTCAGAATAATAGATGAGTTTGCATTAATTGTATGTCCGCTTAATTTCACATCATTTCTTGAGTTTAAATGGCTGCTTGTAAACAAAATCCACCGAAAAATGAATTGTTGTCGGGAAATTCATGCAACCGCAATGGCGCCCATACACAGCAGGCGCAACACTCGAATAAACCAACTGTCCACACTCAATGACCGAAATAAATGCCGATCTTGTTTTGCCTACCAGTGTACTTTTGAAATTTGGCAAAAGTTTTCACTCAGTGATATCATTCGATTGAGAGGATTTGTTTTTGTGCGACTCAATAAAATCAGGTTTTTAAAACCATTTTCTGCATAAGCGCTGCCTATTCGTTCTGAAGATAAAATATGCATGAGTTTCGTTAAGCTGTTTATTGGGATTATTTTGTTTTCGGGGTACATGACCGTGTGTATTGTGTGTGCGTGCAGCTGGTGGGAATGTAAGCCGGCGCGGTGGCGGCGATTCTGGTGTGTGCGGTTGGCTCAAATGCCTGAAAATTCTAATTCAGACACACTTCAACTTATCCCACTTGAATATTTTCATTTAGACGCTTTTTGCAGACTTTTTTTTTTATCACGGCTCGAAATAAGTGGTCGCCCTTTAAAGTGTGCCAGCATTCATTGTGTAATTTATTTTTTTTCGCAAAAATGTTTGTTGTCGCTTTTGTGCCTTTCGTTCCGACTTTATGTATGCTGCTCATTCTGCCTCTCGCTCTTTTTCAACCATTTTATTCATTCCGCACAGCCTTGCGAACCGTATGGCATGGCACAATGCTAATAAAATTATAATGATGCTTTTATGTTTTCAAACATTGAAGAGAGTGACAAAACGGGAAGATGTGAAGCGAACAGATAAAAATTGAACGGAATATGGAAAAAGAGAAATAAGTTGAAAAAAAAAGTGAAATAAAATGACTGCAAAATGGAATAATAGGATGCGTTTTTGCTTTTCACATCGCCGAGGCTATTGTTGTCAACCTCGAAACCATCGTACGCATTACGATTGCTCTTGTTTTGCCATATATATATATATTTAACGTTGCTTGAGCGTTCATCACTTTGATGCGATTTGCACTGCTACACTTCGTTCGTTTTCGCTCCCTCCCCCTCTCTATCTCGCTCGTATTGTCATCGCACTTGCATTGCATACATTATACCGAAGCTTTTGTATTTGGATGTATGAAAATTACACCGCATGGTTCATGCTATCTGATTATATTCAATTATATTCAATGCGTCTCTCAATCTCTTGGATTTCATTAAACCAAACCATTTTCATTCGATTTGTTATTATTCGAGTTCTTGGTTTCGCTTCTGCTCTTTCGTGTCGGATTTTATTGTTGTGTGTGGTGTGCATTGTGTGCGCGTTTCATTTTTCATACCAGATTCAATCTGGTCTCAAAAAATGCGGTTTTCATTTCGAACCAACACGCAGACATACATATTTTTATTTGAACATCTTCGTTCCACTGCAAATGAACGTGTATATTTTCTCATTTTCATTACGATTGATGGTTGGTGGAAAAACAAACGCCGCACATGGCACTCCACGTTTCACATTCAATTTCACGTTGTTGCTGCGTATAAAAGGAGAAAACAAAGACAAGTAACAGCAGCAAAACAATGAACGAGAATGAGACAAGGAATCAGCGTTTGTTTGTCGGCCGATCCTTTCACTAGCACTTGTTCGCTCGCTCATTCTCTTCGTATGTGTATGTATGTTACTTCTGGAATGTCGACCCTCTTTCGAGCTTGATTCATTTAATTTCTACGTCATTTATCATCTTGTATTCTCTGACTTCATTTCTAACGTTTCAGTTCCCTTTTCCATGGCGCACTGCAGCCAGTCGCGTGTGCGTTTTGTTTCGTGTTATTTTTATGTCTAATTACTTGTTCTAAAATAATTATCACATTATATCTCTTCTGCCGCGGTATATGCGCTCTCTGAATTTCGATTCAGTAAAAACGAGCTGATGTTTTATATCATTTTATTTACAATTTTGATGTTGGTGCGAGAAATGTGGCTAAGATAAGTTCAATGAAATGAAAATTCGGAACAGAAGAAAAACATAAAAATTCAATTTAGATTTTTAGCGTAAGCACGCACGCGAGCGCACTAAAGTATTTGAGCAAAATTATCTTGAGTAATGAAAAAGTGGTGTAGCACTTTTAGAGATTGTGTTCCATTTCACTTGTTTGCTATTGATTTTGGCTTGCTTTGTTTGTTGCAGCCAAATGGCTGTAGCTTTTTGTTTTGAGTTTTCGTTGCTTGTTTTTCTTGCAAAATGAAGTTATATGCTGCTTTTTTGTTTAAATTTTTTATTTTACTTGTTTCCTGCTGATGTCTTACAAGATGGATATAATTTAGATGTTCTGTTTATTATTTTGGAAATTGCGTATAAAAGAAGAAGAGAAAAAAAAACTTAACAATTGAATAAAAGCTCAACTCCTTCATTCACGAAACCAAGTATTTGCTTAGCTTAATGATTCCCTGGTTTGCATTGCACTCTCAATGAAATGCGCGTACTTGTCGTGCATCCTTTACATAACTCAATTTTCTACTACACTTTTTTTTCGTCCAATTCTTGTTTTATTTATCTAACTCTAGTTAAATGACGAGCTATTGACTCACCAAAAAAGAATTGATGATTGCCACTTAACAATCTAGTAGTTTGTGTATGATACAGCCCGAAAAATGTTGCTTTTCGGAAAAAATTTCAATCTTAGAATTGAACAAAATCTCAGATTAGTTCATCTAGTCAAATTCGGCTATTGGCCACAAGTGCGCAAATTGTTAATTTATTGACGCAAGAGAGGAGAAAAAGTGGTGCTCATTTCTTTCTTTTAATTTTTCATTTTGAAATAAACACACTTTTTGTCCGCGCGTGATTATCAACACTTTTTGCACCAAGTGCATATAATGACCTAAGACATTTTTTTTTCTTCTTCAATGTATTGAATTAACGGTCGCCAATTTCAATTAAAGTGCACTATGGAAGGAAAAGAGCTTTCACAAACAATCTAACGGAAATAAGTTGGGGATCGCAAAAAGAACGTGGTTAACTGAAATTGTTATAGGTGGTGTTGGGTGGTGGTAGTAGTGGTGGAAAAACTAAAATCTATGCGAACCAAAAGATAATAATGTGATATTTTTTTCGTTTTTAAAGAAAAGAAGAGTTTGTTCTACAGAGAGGTTGAAATTGATTTGATCAAATCGGTTGTCGCATTTTCGTCTAACTGCTTGTTTTTAGATTGGTATTTTGTTGGTTGTACGTAAAAAGCCAACATAAAAAAATAAATAAGTGTTAACGGAAAAAATACGGTTGTTCTTAACTGTTTTTCGTAAATAAATAAGAAAATAAAACGATTTTTTTCGTTATCTATATAAATATATATATAGATTTAAGGAGAAAACCAAAAATAGAGCTAAAAAAATTCGGAAGAAAATTGAAATCAAAATAACTCGACAATTGAATTAAGCATTTTGAGGGGTTTGTTCATATAACTGTGTCTGCTTAGCCTATGACTTGAACAGTCAAAATCGCTTTCATTTACTTGTACTCTTTTTTTTTGGTTATCAAATTCTATTTCAGCTAAATAAAATCAAGTTAGGTAAATGAATAAACTTCAAACAATGTACAAACCTGATCTATGCTCGGTGAACGTGCTTGTTCATCACGTGAAGTTGTGGCATCCGTGCGTTTTGGACTGCGCGGCGTACGTGCATATGGATCTTGAGCACCGTACAAATCTGGGCTTGCTATATTCAATAGACAAATTTTCTGAACAATATCAACGATAACTAATCCATACTCCGTTCCATAGGCCATACTAAACGAAACAGAGAGAGAGAGAGAGATGGAACGAATGAATTATTAACGTTTGAAGTGAATTATGATTCGTGCATTGGGCGTTGTAAAAACAAAGTTGTTCTCCTGTCGTGACGAGTAAAACTTACAGTCCATAGTTTGAGTTAATACACAGCGCTGTAATTTGACCTGGATGCGTTCCATTAGTCCATGGTGTTAAGCATACAAGCTGAGCTTGAAAACCTGCCGGCTTTCGTTGCGGACCAGGCCGAACTTTCAACATACCGTCATTCTGTGTGGGGGCAAATACAAACGAAAAAGCACATACACACATTATACACAAAAACCAGTTAAAAACCAAGAGCCTCAACACAAACAGACTTCAAAATGGATTTTGAACGCTTGAGAGGAACATTTCGAACGCGTCGGCACCAAGTGAAAAAGAAGCACAACATACACCATCGACGGTGGCAACCGCATACATGTGTGCACGTTGCTAAGATAAATGGTTCTATCCGAGTATGGAAAAATCAAAAGACAAATTCAACTCGGTGGTGAACCGTAAATATTTTCGAAATAAGCAGCTTATATATTCATGGCTATTATTTCCATATGTTCGCTTCGGGATAAAAGGCTTTTGTATTTGGTTCTTTTTCTCTCCTGGTGTTACCTCCTGCGTTCGGCTGGCATGTCTTCTTTCATGGCGTTTGTTTTGAATTCGGATCAGAGACGTACAGATGCGAAAAATATCAAGATAGAGTAAGTGAGTGAGTGAGTGTTGGACGTGAAACTAAAGAGCTTATAATGTTATAGTCAATATTTTATCCGTTGTTTTTCGTACTTACTTTCGTATCAACAGAGTCCGGTTGTTTTGGTAATGATCTTGGAATAAATTCACATTCTGGACTGCCTTCGGGGTCGTCGAAATTTTCATAGCTAATTGGAATCTCTAAAACCTGCAGCGATTAAACCATTGCAGAACAGCAACAACAACAACAAAAACAACAAAAAGAAGATGTATTAGAATATGGTTCTGGTTGATTGGGCGTCGATTAGCTAAGGCCACATCATGTTTGTTTGGCGTAAGAGATTTGGACAAGTTTGCTTTTCTTAAAAGCAAAATAAAATGTAGAAGCGCAAAAAAAAAAGAGAACTACTTACTAAATACTCCGAAACGCTTTCGGCTTTACGAAACTTAAATAGTATCACATGACCGCTTGCACCAGCTACACACAACCTTCGTGATTCGGCACACAATGAAATCATCTGTATCGCTAATGGATCATCATCGGAGCCATCCATTGAACGTGTTCGCGGGCGGTCGAAGATTTTTGCCGTTTTCAATTTGTAGAGGATTTGCAGCGTGCCAGCGCTGCTGTCCCAAAATTTAATTGAACCATCTTGATGGCCGGTGATGATAATTTCAAAGTAGCTACACGACGATGGTGACCATCCGCCTCCAGATATAGGCCATTGGCGATCGGACAAACCCGCCTTGCGATTATTTGGATTTAATCCAACCATGTAGAAAGCTGGCACCAAATCAGATGGACAATCAGCTAAATAAGTGCAACATGTAACCGGTGATTCATGAATATCCATGGGATAAGGCGACTCAAAGCATGGAAATCCAGGAGTCAGTAAATCGATTAAAACTAAATCATTTTGTAAAAGTACGGCTATTGCATAAGGTTCTTGCATATCTATTATTTCATTCACATCGTGGAAGCAATCGGCATCCAATGTCAGTGGCAACGAATTGTTTGGAAAACGCAAACGGCGAGTGCGGCGAAGTGCGGAGAGGGGAAAAGAGAAGAACAGAGAACCAGAGTGTAAATGTAAAATGTGAACATTTGATGGACATTTGCAATGCAAAACTGCGGGTCTGTGGTATTCTCTCTCTCGAAAAACCAGAGGCCAGATTGGGTGACACGCAGTGTGAACCATATAAAGTACTCACCACTTGACCAAGGACTTTCGCATATGGTTATGAAATCGACTACCGGATGTTCCATTTCAAGAACAGTGGTTGATCTGCCTTGGAGCACTGTTATGCACGGCGACTTTCCATCTCGTTCCACCGATAAACCACCCGAAAATATTGTGAACGTTTCACTGTTGCACCAATACACCAATATCCGTGCCAAACCACATCATCGCATTGGTAACGCAGTCGTCAAGCAACAGGCAAACAAATCCAAATCCAAAAAAAAAGTTCAGCACCGACAGTGAAATGGACGAATATTGATTGAAATGACGATGAGAAGAGGGTGGAAGAAAGAAGAGTGGCCGAATTAGATTTGAACAAGAACAAAAGACGGAAAATTGAATCAAGCGATACGATGATTGAAAACATCAGCCTGCCATTCGGCAAGATGCTCAAAACATAAATCACTTTTATTCCAACATGTTGAGCACACACACACACAACGCTGATTGTGATAGCGGTGGCAGTGTTAGTGTTGGTGTGTGTGCTTTCCAAGTCGTTTTCCGTTCCGTCATTCATTCCGTGACTAATGAATTTAATTCAACAAATCCAACTTACCCCATTTTCGTCGTTCTAAGGTCTACTTTATGAATCGGCTTGCACGTCTCTAATTTTCCATCTTTGTTTGTTTTAGCTGAAATGGAAAACCAGAACAAAAGTGAAATCAAAAAACGGATTCTCACTTATCACCACTGTGTATTTTCGCTAAGCTATTGTCTTAACGTTTAACGAAGAAAATGGCTACTACATCTACTGGCGCAACGTTTTATTTACACACATCGAGTGTATATCTCATCATAGCAAGCGATGATCGAAAAATGGTGAAGATAATATAAGAATGGAATTCATCTTCCGAATATGTGGGCTATTATCATGATTTAGGCATTCGAGCAAATCCGAAGATACTATTGATTTTTGGATTAAACACATTTATAGATACTGTGAAGGCGTTTGCGGCGACGGCAAAGTTATACACACATTGTTAGCAGTACTTACCGTGAGGATATGAATGAAATTGAGGTTTCGGTGTTGGTCTAAGTGGCCACGTACAAAGTGAACCGTCTGTATGGGATGATACAAAATATTTGCCTTCATGATGCCAACCAACTGATCGCAATTGTTCAGTCGATTGCCATCGCATTTCAGCGCATTTTCCTCGCAAATCCCATAGTACTATTGTTCCAGACTCATAAGCAATCAACAGCTGGTTAAAAAAAAAAACAGAACACGCCATTATGTGTGAGTGAAAATTTACATATTTTGTCCATTTGAAATTATGCGGTAACTGGAAGGAAATTAACTCACTTTGTTCGTATCTGTTGGATTATCAGACAGTGAAACTACGGCACCTGGACGATCTTTCCGCAAGCTATATATGGGAAACAGAAAAGTGAGTAAGAGCAGAGAATCAATCAATAATTTAGTTTTCAATCCATTGAAACGGTCAACCACAGGAATAAATGTAGCTGTTAAATGCTCCGGGCAAAGCAACTGCGTTGCCTTGTGGCCATGGAAAAATGTGTCGGTTTCAATGCTATTTTATTCGGTGTTTTAATTTACAACGTGATATAAAACTTTTATCCATTGGGTCAGCGCGTCTACATCTACACTTTGTCGTTTAAATATTCACAAATAATGAAGATCCTTTCGAATGAATGCGGTTTGTTTCGATTTAATCTTCTCTTTGAGGCAACCCCAAAAGGTCACACAGGCTTAAGTTTTCATTATTCCGTCGAATGAGTGTGCTTTGCTCGAGCATCGGTTAATGTGTAAATAATGGCAATAATAGCATCTGACGCCACTTTTGATATAACGAAATTTGATTTCATACACAAAGCCTTCCAAATGACGTTCGCTTCCTCTTTCCTCTATTTTTTTTTCTCTCCCTCTCTGATGTTTGGTTTAAAGTTTTTGGGGCTCGAAAATGGTTTAGTATTCGCATGGAATTTCTTTGCTAAAATAAGGCATTTGCTTGATGACAACAGCGATTTTGTATAGGAAACTAAAAATTAACGATGCACACCCCATTTCCATACATTTTGCAGGCATTTTTCCATGGAAAATTGCGTGAAACGACAATGAGCCGTCGGCAACAAAACAGCACAACGATGGTGACATTTTAATTAGTATAGTTTTCCCTCTTGGCATCGTTTTTTTTTTCTCTTTACTTTTGTTCATCGTCTTTGTGTGCCTCATTTAGCGCATTCCGAAACGGTGCCGAACACAGAAAGGAATCTATTACGTGGCCGTATAATTAAAAGATTTACTTTCACCTCTGATCTGTGAAAGTCTTCAAAATGTGAAAAAATGCGAACAAACCGCACATAATTTGCTCGGCAAAGAAATTTCTCATGAAACCGATGCTCAACCAGACGAAACAATATGGACGACAACATAAAAAATGGTTTCATCTACGAAACCATACTTCTTGTTCGTTTTTGTGCAAATGTACGCAATATTGGTCGAAGCTTTTGTTCCAACCATTTCAAGCGTTCGCGACAAGCTGTTCTTCTGCAGCCATCATTTCTCTTGTTTGTTTTTTTTTCTCTCTCGGTTGATAAAATGGTAGCGCATGTCGCAAAAGCTCAATGATAATGCCATTGCTCAAATCTTACACTACAATAATATTCAATATGAACCCAGTCAAATGTATGTTCAGCATTTCGAATGCACCGACCGAGAAAAAAAAACATGGAAATTATTCTTCATTGTTCTTAATTTCGACGGTGAGGTTCTTTTGTAGATAATGCTGGCGACCATAGTTATTCCATACCAGACGCAAAAAAAAAGGAAAACCAAGAATTTAAAACTGGCCGCCAAAAATAAAATTCATAAAAAAGCAATTACGAGTGGCATAGAGCGACCGGGAACGAGAGAAAAAACGATGACGGAAAACCAAAGAAAATGATTTCGAATATAAAAGATACACACAAATGTACCCACTCAGACGCACAGTCAAACAAAACGATGCGGGACTGATATTAAAAATCATAAAGCCAACAACAGGAACACGACAACAACGCAAACCAACAAAAAAAGAAGATTCGATGTCAGAACAATAAAACCATGCGGAAAAAAAGGTCGACGAATAGACAAAAGAATATGTATTATTCATATTTTGTTTGGGATTCACTTGGAAAAAATATCGCTGCATATTCTCATTTCAATTTGCGCAACTGTGTGTTCTTGTGCGTCGGGTAAAAAAAATTATACCTGAGCGTGAAATTAAATTTTTACTTGAATTAAAAGAGAGAAACAGAAAAAAGCGATGTACCTCCGTATCTGAACAATATGACGAATTTTCGGTATCAAGACCAAAACAAAAGAAACGCGCCATGCCTGTGGCAAACAATAAACTCTCTCTCTTAGAAACCGACTTGTTCCACCGAACAAAATAAAATTTGAAAAAAAACAACGTCTCTCATGAACGACGTCTCACACATTTTTTTTAAAAATCGGAACATCATTCGAATATTTAATGTGAATTGACCCATTCTCAAAATTTTGCATTTTTCCCTCTTTCTCTGTCCCTATCTCTGTATCTCTTTCTCACTATAACTTCCCGATTCTGTTTTCCACATGGTTTCCACTTAAATTTCCGCATAGCATCACTAGTTGAATGAGCCGTAAAATTAAATATTGATTTTATCCTTCAGAAGGAGGAAAAGTAAAATAAAATGAAAATGAAATTAGGTTAAATACCGTGGATGTAAACTTCACCTTAATTTCATTGGACACAAGGCCCGAATGGTTGTCGATTAATGAAAATTTCTTGAAAATCTGACAATCAATATTATAAATCAATTTGTGTGCTGACTTTCCAACTTGAAAGCCACATACACACACCCACACACACACATAAAAAAAACTCTTTGACTTGCTCACTCACTCTCTAATGGATGGTGGTATAGACTAAAGTCTAGAAATTAATAATGGAAATGGCTGTAACGTGTTCTCCGTAGAAAAAGTTTCTTTTAATTGTTCGAATTTTTTTCATCGTTCCTTCTCCTTCTCTCTCTTTCTTCTTCTCTCTCTCTCTCTCTCTCTCTCTCTCTCTTCACTGTGTAAGAGTAACGACTTGCAACTAAGTTTTTACTACCACAGTAAATTCATTCGTCTGTTTTAATACTCCAATGAAGTTTCTAGCATCAAGATCTTGTCACAAAGAAGGTATAAGAGAAATGCCAAGCATTTTCCGCACTAAATATGTTTCCTTAATTATTTCACAAATTAAAGCTCACGCCACACCATTCGACTTGAATTGCTGATGCAGCAGGAGCAGCAAAAATGTGGGCACCCATTCAAATACAGATAAAGAATGTTGAACAACAGCGCGGTTTCGTTTTCCATTCGGATATGAGTCATTTCAGAATTGTCACTGGAACAGATGAACATGCTAAGATTGAATGGAGGACCGATGTAAATGGAAATGTTCACACAACGGTTTGAAAAACAAAAGTTTTCATTCACTCGACACATTTCATTTGGACATGCAGAGGGAAAAAGAGCAAAAAAATGGGAAAAAATTGGGTCAAACGAAAGAGACGCTGCTGATATATATATTTGAACAATCCAAGCAGAACCAGTTTTGCATGGTGGAATCGAAATGAACATTTAGTAAGAATATAAATACAAACAATGCCGCGGTGAAATGTATGATTTCTTCTCTCGAGGAACATGTACACGAGTCGGAACAAACAATCCGAGCGGAAGAACAAAGAGAATGGAGAGGGGGAGAAAGAGAGCCGAGAAAGAGAGAGCCGAGAAAGAGAGAGAGAGATAGAAGGCGACTGTCGAGAATATGAGTTGAGTGCAATGCAACGACGAAAATCACAACCAGAAAGCGAGTGGAGAAGTTTTTTTGGTTATATAATACACTTGGTGAAAAATGAACTTTCGAAACAAAAGTAGTTAAGTGTTCTTAGTTGGTGTGTATGTGTGTTTGTGGATGTTTGTCGTTGTCGGGGTGGGTTTTTAATATTCCATAAGCGATTCGTCACATTGAACTGAACTGTGAACGGGTCGATGAAATGATGGGAAGCCAACGATGAGGATGAAACGAAACGCAAATCAAGCAACCAACTGAAGAGACGACGATCGCTTTCAGTTTTAAGCGATTTTGCCATTTTGCGATTTTCACGCTTCGATGACGAGGCCATTATTTAAATAGCACAGCCGGAACATTTTAGAAAATCATGCGACCGAATCGACAGAACATGAGCAAATTTTCAGTCTCGAAAGTTCAACAAGTTATTTGGGCGGCTTTTTTTCTCTTGCTCTGTCCGTTCGAATCAAGGCAACGGAGAAGTGTCGATGTCTCAACCAGAAGCGATATATCCATCTCCGACTACAGCTTGAGAATGAGCCACACATGTTGGATACATGGGAGCAATAGTGACGGATACGAGGGTAATAGTGATGACTCTAATTAATATTTAATGTCAATTTGGATATGTATCTGCAAGTGGGATGAACAGTATTTGGATGACATTGTTTCCCATCAAAGTATGAAATGATAAAAACACCTTTCAGCTAGTGGCCATCGACAAATTGTAAGTGACGAGAAACGAGAGAGGGAGAGAGTGAGTGATGTAAATGTGGTGAACGGCAGTTGGACAGCAACTTTGAAATGTAGTTGCGCCAAATTGGTGTGTAGGGAGTATTATATACGAGTTGCGGTTCGCAATGGAATGTTGGTATTTATTGGGGTTACGTGGAAATTGATGACGGTTTGCGCTCATAAGAGCATGTGCTAATAGCTTTCCCTAGCATTGTGCGCATAAGCGTACACACTAAATCGCTCTCTAATTCACATTCATCAACTACCGCCCCATACAAAGAATAACTTATTTTATTTAAAAGTGGAGCAAGTAGGTTTCTTCGAAATGGATTACGGAATTCATTCAATTTCACCCGCCTGTCTGCACAATGTTTTGCATACAATTGAAAAGCTATTTTTAGCCTTTCTCTAGCTCGCTTTTCTATCCATTTTCCTTGGGTATGTGTGTATCATTTTATAGTCCGAAACCAAAACTTATAAACAAACTGCACACACATCACGGATTATTTGTTGCAGCACACGACCGTTGTCGTTGTCGTGGCTTTATTTGATTCACTTCTTTCCTTCTTTTATTTTCTTTTTCCAGTTTGGAAATGGCATTTTTTAAGTATTTATATAAAAATTGTATATAGTTGCACCGAAAATGGGCGCGAGAGCATTTTATTGCACATGTTCAACTGCAATTGCAACGACAACGACATAGCAACAGTAGACAGCGGCGGCAACAGCAACAAAGGAAATGGGAAACGTAAATTTGTTGTATGCACGTAAACATTAAACAATTGCATTCAAGTTATTCGCATGCTTTGTACAAAACGGTCATAATTGCAGCTTGGCTTAGGGTTTTGTGTGCACAGTGCAGTGTGTTCTGTTCACACATACACACTCACAGTGCATTTTGTTAAAAGCTCCTTCAGAAACCAATGAATGTAAGAGTCTCTTACACACTTGATAGAGTGCGCTTCTAAAGTTCGCCTGACTGTTGCCACAACGATCCGGACGCTTCTTTTTGCCATTTATTTAATTCCTGTATTGACGAGTCTAACGTGAACGACAGAAAGAGCGATGCTGAGCACACAGAGTTAGAAGTGTCGTTGTAATTTGACTCGAGCCGACTCAAGCAAAGAATTGCCTGAGAGCATACACAGTGCATACTCACATATATCTTTTTCTAATGGTGAACGCATGAAAGCGCATAATGTCCTCTAAATGAATATTGAACATATGTTTTCCATAAGCTCACCGAAGATGGATGAGTGTTCTGTGTAATTTCCTCTTTTGTTGTGCGCTCCTATCGGCTGTGTTTGACTGTTGTAGGTTGTGTGTACATCGCTCGAGTAGGGCAAACACACCGTCAATTCATCCGGACATTGTTTACAATTTAAATATAAATCATAATAGGTTCTTTTAGACTCATTCGTGACTTTGAACAAAAATAAAGAGCCACTCATCTATTTCATGGGCAAATAAATAGTTTGGGCGCCCGTATGTGCCCGAAAATGTCATGATGTCATGAAAATAAGCACCCAATTCATTTCATTCCATTCCATTTTATTTCATTCTCTTCCGTTCCATTCCGTTCTATTCGGAACCATTACCACGGTGAAGCGATGTCAAGTTTTCCGTAAAACATTTTATCAGAGCACAATAATCCCCACTCGAAGCGAAAGAGTTCATGCTTTATGGTGCTTGGATTTTCAGTGAATTATTTATAATCTAATTTGCCATCACGTGAGTTGCATAAAATTTTATTTTATGCATATTCAAGCTTTTCACTCATATACATTTCGATCTAGGATCTCTTGACAGCAGCCGCCACAGCAACAACATTGTAAAATATGAAGATTTTGTTGCGTTCATAACAGAAAATTTTGACTATAGAACCATTTAATTTGTTGTCTGCCTGCCTGCATGCCAGCCTGAATGTTTGCTTGTCTTGTCTACTTGCAACCACCATGAACTCGACGTCCATCCACTGTTCGCATCGCAAACAACCGCTACGGAAATTGAACGTAACTTTGTATATTCCTTTACTTTGCACAACTAAGCATCCAGTTAATCTCATTTTGAGAATTATTCTGCATCCTTGAATTAATATTTAGATGTTAGTTTTCACAATTTTCTTTTGTTTTCAAGCATAATTTCTCGCATTGATCGCTGTTGCAAGGGGCCAACAATTAATTACATCCTAACGTTACTTTGCCTTGAGGTTACCAATTTGAAGTTTTAGTGTTTTGTTTAGCTAAAGCAAGCAACGTGAAGCGCAACTGGAAAAACAGTTTCCTTACGTGGCATGCATTGCAATAAACAAATTGCTAACGCTTCATAATATTTGACCATGAATTATCTATTAACATCAACATTTATAATTATTTGAACCCATCGCTTCTTGAGCATCTTGCTGTTAGCGCTTTATCACGTTAAATATCTGTTTCGACTGCTCAAAATCCATGAATAGATAAGCAAATGAATGTCGTACAACATTTTCTCTGTGTGTATGTTTTTCGCGTCTTACTCCGCCTCTAACCTTATTCTCTGTCGCTCGACGAGCGCATTTGAATTTTTGCCGGAAAATATGTATATACGTGCGACGACGAGCTTAGTTATTAAACAAGAGAGATACGGTTGATATGGTGAGAAGCATCGAAGCGAACACTCGTCGGTTGGTTCGAACCCAGGCCGGATTTAATTTCGCCTTTGTCGTATGCATTTCACTAAGCCTTCCTTTTAAATAAATCTAAATAATTGGTCGTATTTTGGATATGCTGCTCAGATGTGCACTGCAGAACGTGTACGACAAAACTACACGACTGACTGATGACACGAATGAGAAGATTGAGAGAGAGTGAAACATCTCATCGAAAGACACTTGAACAAATGAAGTGTTGCGAACGATTAATGTTACCTTTCCAATTCCAAGTCATTGTGTCATGATGTAGTAGGGGTACTAAATTGAAATATTGCGTGATTCTGTGCTCCGAATGTTCTGTTGAGTGCTCCGTCGCTTCAAGTACATGGAAACTGCTTGAAAATGATAATTTAAAGGCTTCATCGGCAACGGCATGACTTCTGCTCAATGCAATACCGATGATATCTTTTCGTATCTTTTAATGGTAATTCCACTCAAGCAATTAATAACATCCTAATTAACTACGATTTTTTTTATGTCTTTTTACATCAATTTGGAGCTGTGCCTCCGCTTATTTCGACGGAATTTCATCTAGTTGAGATCTATTCATAAATATTGAATGAGATGTAACTCAATCAGATATGAGTTCGAACTTCTAAGGCACAATATCGTCCAAGCACCTAGCACCATGCACTTATGGCAAAATCTTATGTAATCGGCTTACGTATACCATAAACGCTCAACAAACACACAAAGCGAAATGAAACAGGCCTTTTAATTTGAACTATAGCAGTTTTAAGTTAGCAATTATGATAACATCATACACACGCACAGTGCACACACACACACACAAAGAGAAATGAAATCGTCTTCAAAATTGCTACTTTGTTTTTTCTTCGTTTCGATCGCAATTTCATAAGAGAGAATCCTTTTCGAAGAATCAAACAAAGTTTACGATAGAAAATTTAATTTTTCCATCTTTTTGCACCGCATTTTAGTGTCGCTGGTGATGTAAAGATGTAAAAAAAAGTGTATGTTTTTTTTTTAATGCAAGCTTAAGGCTTCGTGTTGCATGCATCGTTGAATCTGATGTTCGGATGAAAATTGAAGTCACGTCGCTGAGTTTCCATAATTCGAGGATCAAAAACAATGCAATGCACTGACTTTGTCAAATGCAATATAATTCCACTACGTACATAAATTTGAAAAAAGGGATAAAAAAAAAACTGAGGAAAGAGTGAATGTGCTCTTCTGCATGAAAGCACTGTGTTGCAGTTAAAGATTCGTGACCGGCTGCAAACTGATCAAGTTTTTGATGGAAAAGATGTTTAATACTCTTTTTTTCTCTCATCGTAATATGGATTAAAATTTTCTGCATTTTTTTTCCTCCGCTTTCTCGCACATTTATAACATCGGATAAAATGTGTTCATGAAAGTTTATGTTACTGCATTCATAAAGATAATCCGAGAAATTCACTATTGAAATCACACGAAAAAGTGCTTCTGAAGACATATAAAAAGAAGCTTCATCTCATAAGCACTCAACAGACAACATTGACAAGCTCTCTCATCTCTATTGTATGTGATATTTTTCAAATTCTTCTTTGCTGCTGCTGTTGTTGCTTGTTTCTCCGTGCTCATGTTCTGTCCTTTTTTTCTTGCCTGCCATTAATGCCGTGTCTTTCTTGTTTTCCTTCTTTAAACGCATTGTTGTCAATATGCACTTTGTATTTACAAAAACTGTATTAACAGCAAGTTGTTGACGAATAGAAAGAGAGAGAGAGAGAGAGAGACGGCTTACAATGAAAGTTCGCAATATGAAACCGACAAAAGGCCATCTTGAGCTCGGTGTACATGCATTTGTGCGCTACAACGGTAAATTTAACAACGAATGATGGATATGAGAGGTACTTACACTTCAATCGCCTTATTCCAATTTATTATGTATCCACTTAATGCAAACGATTCAATATTAATTACATGGATGTTACCCTTATCTGTTCCAACATAAAGCCATTTGGCAGCAACAGGCAAATAAAGGCATGTAATTCTGCAACAACAAAACGAATGAAAAAGAAAGAAAAAAGAAAATCAGAGTGGAAGAGAGACGAGCAAATATCAAAGAACTGATAATAATAAAGCAAAACATTTCTTTCACGTGCATCATTTTTCATTCTATTAACGAACGAGGAGAAATAACTGCCGCTAATCATGATTTTGGACGAGCATTTTTGCATATTTGCCTTATTTATCTTTTTTTTTTCTTCGCTTTCGTTTCTTTTCATCGCTCAAATATAAAAGCGGCAGATTTGTGTATTTTTCGTCGTTGTCGTTAATGCCGGATAAATAATTTATCTCGCAATGAAACGAGTTGAATGTAATCGGCTTACCTTTCTCTTTGAAATTTTAAACTTTGTACTACTTGTGGACTTTTTTGACGAAAATTCCAGAGATGCAGCATATCGTCGGCGGTTACCGTTATTAATGCACCTTCATTAACTAGAAACTGAATGTGGGTGACGGCACAGGCCGATTCACCTTCATGCCGTACATGACAATCCACGCCTGGCTTTCCCAATCTGTTTGTGCCGCCCGAAGTTTAACGTTCAAGTTTTTGTTTTGGTTGTTGTTTTGTTTGAAATGGGCAAAAGCGCGAAAATGAGGAAGTTGAACGACATTAATTGTTTTCATGTTCCGCATTTCAAAATGATGCGAATATTTTAATGTAAAAGGATTAAGGAAAATTCTTTTTCTATTGATGGAACTTTTTCGGAGAATGTTTATTAAATATTTGTGACAGGCAACTCAAAATATGTGTCCGCTTGGTGAATTGAAGAGGGTGAGTGGAAAAAAGTTAGTCATGGGTCGGTTCGTTTGGTTTATGTTTGAGTCAAAAGAATGTCGGTGTCGTCATTGGCGTCGTAAAACATAACAGTCAGTTTCAAGTGTACAACGGTCCTGTGATGTAAGGATGAACGGACCCGAAAGGGAGCAAGAGAGCGAGAGAAATTGTATCATGGTGTTGACTCTGGGTAAAATCACATTTTTCTTATTTATTTATGAAGCGAGAGCATCGTTAGAAAGGCTTCTTGTCTGCAACTCATAAAGTATGGATCAACAATAATTACTTCTTGTTGAAAAGTATCAACTACACTTCGAGCGGAAAATCTCATCGAAATACTACTATGTAACGAACAAACATTATTGATTTGATTCAAGCGATGACATGTTATGTTGGCCCTACACTGCCACTAGCATCGCAATGAAAATGGTTCATGTGTGTGTGTGACTTCGCTCGCTTGCTTCAACACGACACAACACAACACACTACAGTACAATGCAATATAGCACAATTCAGAACTGTCATTTAGACAACTTAGCTCATGGCTATGTCATGGCATCATCGACGGTTCAAATCAAATAGACGACCTTTTGTCGCTGTTTATTCTATGTGTGCTTCTTATGGAAAAACTTGGCTATAAACTTAAATTGTGCGCCGAAATCACATTCTTTCCGGCGTTCAAGCATATTTCATCGAACAATATACAGCATGTCTCAAAGCACACCAGTTTTTCATTATTTTTTTTCTTTTTCTTAAGGTGTTTCCTTCGAAATTTCTCCATTTTCAGCATTTCTAATAAAACGAAAAGAAAAAAACAGGAAAGAGAACTTGTTGGCATTTCATTTCTTACCCTCGGATCCATAAAAACTAGAATTGCTTATCGATTTTTTATTGTGATGAACATAAACTTAGATATGGAACAATGGGATCGTAATCAGAAATTCTCGCTCGTTCTTCATCCAATCTAACAACATACTTTCGTTGAACGCCAACTGTACTTTTACCCTCTTTTGCTCTTTCCTCCTCTTTCTCTCACTCTCTTTCTCTCTCTCTCTCTTTCTCTTTTTCGTTCGCACGAAAAGTAATCTTCAAAATCAATTGCTTTTCGATGTTGCTTGTTTATATTACAAACGCGCTTCGAATGGAGAACATGCTGTCGATGTTCCTCGTTTTTCCAACGAAAAGTTCATTTGAAAAGTTCCATTGCCACGACTGATTGATTTGTTTCACCTTTTTTTTTTCATTATTACTGCTCATCGTGTCCTTCTCTAAAGCAATTGATTCATCATCGGCCTATTTATAGTGGCAATAGGTCGTGGTTGACCTGTTGCCCCAGCTTAATTCAACAGATAAATCATCATCGTTATTTAGACTCCCACCAATCACGTTCAGCACCAGTCCTTGTTGGTCGACGGATTTATTTTCCACAGCGCTGTTTATCTTGCAACGCGCACAACTTTATTCCATTTCTCTCTCTCTCTCTCTCTCTCTCTCTCTCTCTCTCGTATAAACCGTCTTTCGATTTTCCATTCTGTTTGCATCTCTCTGTTCTCTTCGTTGAGTGTCGTTTCGATTTAATTTGGCTCGTTAGATCTGTGATTCTTTTTTTACGTTTTACTTTTACATGAATGCAAAATGAATATAGCTGACTAATTGATTTATGTGAAGTGGCTAGGGTCTGACTGGCTGGCTGACTGACTCGTCGACGTGCGACGGGATGCACGGTGTGACGACGTTATGGTGATTTGCGAGCGAGTACGACGCGTATGCACGTCAGCAATTTGACCATCAGTCATATTAGATTGTGCCAGTTTAACTCAAATAGATATATTATTGCTGCAAATGGATGGATTTATTAATTTTGTCTAAGTAGGACATAATCACCATCTCCATTCATTCGTATTTGGCCGGAATTTATGTGTATGTATTGGTATGTATGAGCTGTGTATGGTGTTGGGATGCGAGTGAAATATAAAATTCATTGCAGCTAATGTGTGGAATCAATTTGAGGTGGTAAATTATTATAGTTGCGTGAGCAATTTTTCTCAGTGCATCGATTTCACTAGACGCCAACGATTCATGTGAAAGGAGTGGAAATGGCAACAGATAACTATATATCTTCATTGAGTGAAATACATTTTATAGCATGAAATGGCACAACGGAGAAAAGAGAGAGAGAGAGAGAGGGAGCTGTTTGTTGAGCATATTGTTATTTCAAACGATAGCAACAGCCGAAAAAGTAACCTCCAAAAATATCAATATATTAAGTAAACGAGGCGCACGCACTGTATGAAAGAATGACGATGAATTGCTCAAAATGTTCGACGAATTGTAATAAATGGAATATGTTTATGCGTAGAAAAAAAAAATTGTTGTGAGCATGGAATGTCATAACTTTTAGTAACGAAAGACATATTCCCGCCCTCAGCGGAAAAAAACGACGGCATGCAAAATAGACGCGGTTAGCACAACAGCTAAACACTAGGCAGATAAAAAATGGTACCTTTGCAGTCAAATGATACTTTTTTCTGCACGCAGCAAAATATTGATAAATTTTGCAGTTTGTTTTTGTTGTTTTACTTTTTTCGCGAATGGCAACATTTCCGCTTATTTATTATCATTGTTTCTCTTTTTCTTTCCTCATCTTCTGTCGCACTTCTTTGTTTGTGTTCGTAATTCATCCCGTTCGCTTTGACATGTTGTTTGGTATTATTTTCGCGTTGATCGTACTCTGGCACAAAATGTGCGAGCGATTTTCGGTTTTTGGTGTGAGAATTGGTAAATGGGCCGTATAAATGCGTACACAACTTTTCAGCACAACGTACGTATCAAAATAACAATGACAATCAGAAAGTACATACGATGCTACGGCAAAGTCAACATCGATGCTGAAAAAGATGAAGATGGAGAGCGAGCGAGCGAGCGAGAGAGTGAACGGCAGAAAAATGAATTGAAAATTAGAACAATGGCTTGGTTAAGCCAAACGAGAACCAACAAGGAAATCATTGGAGCTGTAATAAGGTACGAGGAAAAGTTGAAGCGCATCGTTAACCGACAGATGAGTTTTGCCGCACCAAATTGCGAAAAAGTATGAGAATGTATTATTTAAAACTGTCACTTCTCTTTACCATTTTATAGTCACCCAGTCGCCCACACAAGCACACAGGGTGAGCGAGAGAAAGAGAGAGAGAGAGACAGGGAGAAGAAAAGGAACACACGAAAAGGATTTCTGCAAATGGATGGCATTAATTTAAGCGGGTAAAACATCATTGACAATGAAACACACGCGGTATCCATGTTGAGTATGCAACACCATTTCAGCGGTGAGACACACATAGAAGTGTGCTGCTGGTGTCTTAACTTTAAAACTAACGAAGTACTGACAAAAGGTAAAAGTTGTGTGCGCATCAGCGAGTGTAAAAAAATGACATGAATACATTTGAAAATGGTTAGAGCCAAAGCACGTGGTGAAACTCCAATGACAACCAACCTGAACTGAGCGCCGCATTCACATACCGAAAAAAAGGAAGATAAAATGAAAGGCAACCAATATGCATATATATGAAGATTGGAGAATCAGCACCGACGAAAACCAACCAAGAAAAATTACTTGGCGTCACTGATAAAAAGAAGAAGTTTCACAGCTTTCGTATGTCTGATGATGCTTTTTCATTTTCTCGACAACAGCATCTATACATTTCTTACTATACAACGTATATGGATGCTTAGCAACACATACACAGAAGAATGCACGGTCTTACACGGCTCAAACATTTGGATTTAATTTTTTTTCTTCTGCTTTCGGTTTCACGTTGTTTTCATGCGTTCAAAAGCTATACACAGCTCTGCGAGCAGATGTTAAAATAGAGGATTTTGTACGAGTGAATACCCTAGAAATGTGCTTTCTTTTCCTTTCTTCTCTCCATATGGCATATAAAGAAGCTGGAGAAAGCTGAATAAATCGAACAGACGGAATGATTTAAAGAACACGACGATATCAACAGAACGAAAAGTGATGAAAAAAGGTTTTTCTTTCTTGCCGCGATTTCTCATTTTCATTTTTTATTATTCATATTTTCGCCCGTCTCTCGTTCGTTCGTTTGTTCATTCGTTCGCTCACTCACTCACTCTCAATCTAACTGTTGTGTTGTTTGTTTGAAATCCATCTGTACTTTTATTAATGCTTTGCCGTGTTTTGTTGACAACGCCAACGGAGTGATCCTGTGTATATGCTTTTTTTTCAACTCGATATTCATGTGCTGGAATAGAAAGGAGTGTCAGTTGATATCAGTCTCTGTTTGAACATTTAAAAAGGAGCTTAAGCACTTGGCATTTGTCGCAACTAGATTTCCATTTCAAAAAAAAAAAAAACATGAGTCTTTTTATCAATACTGGAAATTGATGAGACTACTTTTTTGATGTACGATTTTGAAATAAAACCCCACTCTCGCCAGAAAAACAAAATAAGCACATTGCACACTCACATGCTTTGTCGCACAACAAACAATGGATACCGACAAACGTAAGCTGCTTCACTTCTCACCCGTGGATTTAATATATGCAAATATTAAGTATGAAATGATTTAGTGCCGTTTTTTATCGACTAAATTTCGTATTTTATGTTCGTCTGTGTCACATATTGACAACTTTCATCATCAGCACAAAAAACCAACCCCGAAAGAGAAGAAGACGAAAGGTAAACAAAAACGTTTTGTCATCGATGTTTGTTTTGTCATT